AACAGCCTATTGTGGGAGAGAACAAAGCGGCTTTCAGCTGAAAATGAAATTAGGAAAAGACTTTGGAGGTGGATAGAACATACATTGAGAAAATCACCAAACTGCATCATGAGTTAAGCGCTAACTTGGAATGGTGAAGGGAAGTGGAAAAGAGGAAGGCCAAAGAACACTTTTTGTCGGGAAATAGAAGCAGATATGAAAAGGATGAATAGCAACTGGAAAGAACTGGAAAGGATTGCCCAAGACAGGGTTGGACGGAGAGTGCTGTTGGGTGGCCTATGCTCCTCCACAAGGAGCAACAAGCGTAAGTAAGTACAATTTTAACTCAGATATCATTATTATTAGCTTTATTCAATAATATATTCTTGGTATAATATAGAATTTTCCTCACAAAGAATTTCAACATGTTACCGTTTCTTATTTCTTTGTTAATCATGACGATAAATATTGAGTGATCACCAGTTAGAATTTAGGAGTTCAGTCAATCGACATCTTTTCGCGATGTATATTGTTAGCAATCATGATATCTCTGATTAAGCCTTTTGTAACGTGTACACCGAAATGTTGTACACTTTTTAGAAACGCATCTGAATAGGTTATACGATTAATAGCTATGATGTATTAAAACAAACAAAATTAAATATAAGAAAGGGGTTTTTGTAGATATTATAGTAAATTAATAGTTGACATCATGATCTCAACTACAAATTGCGATAATATCTACAAAAAACTCCTTTCTGATATGAATGAGCATATGCTCACTAGTGAAATATACATTTCATTGTCCAATTATTTTCACATTTCTTATCACGTGATCGAATAATTTTTCATGAATGTTACTTCATCATCTATAATTTTTTTTAGGTCATTGACCTATTTTCTATTATAAAACATGGATTCAAGCCTATGTTATTGTAGAGACCTTCTTTTATCAAGAGAATGCGATTGGTTTAATGGAAACAATTATTATTATAACCAATTGTACCAGTGATTGTTTTACTGTACTTGTTTGTTTAACTGTACTAAAGACATCCATTATTCTTCTATTCTTCCTTCCTTTGATTGTGACCTTTCACGAGTTCAGTTACTCTCAGTAACCACACTTGTAACCTGGCACGACCTCAGTATTCTATCGATACCACGAGATCGCCAACACATACATCTCGACTACAGCCATCAACTGTCTTCTGATATTTGGCTTACGGGGGATCTTATCGGATTAACTAGCACGTAGTCTTCCTGTAGTGATGATCGTAGTCAACCGCATCTCGACACCACGCTACATTATTCTTATTATAACTAGTACATTTATTATCATACTATCAATTTGTACTTTTTACATGATTTTGTTTATCTATGTAATCGATTCCACTGTTATCATTGATTCATAAACTTCCTTGATTGGTTTAATAATTATGTATATGAATATAAAGATTACTGTATATTAGAATAAAGCCTGATTAGGATTTAATTGTAAACAATATTGCCCACTTATATATGTTAGTATCCTAAATTTGTTGAGTTGATTATTGTATACTTAGTGGTTTCGTTCATGTTATACTAAATAAACAAATATTTAAGAACAGATAATAATAGTATGATCTTAGTTTAAATAAAATTGTTCTAAGTTTTGTATATTCACTTACATGAATATCGTGCTCCATTGATTGTTTACAAACTAACTACTTATTCGTTCGACTATATCAAACAGGTCAGTTTTGTATTCGTCTGATTTTAAGTGTTGTATATGACTAATCTTGAATATAAGTTTGTGATTTAAACTAACAACTATTAACTGAGGATTCATTTAGTTTTCCATCTATACACATCTGTACACCGAAAATCTACAACAGGTCCACATGGTGTGAACGAGATGTGGACAACATTTTAATGTTTAATACAAAATTACAGAATATCTTGGTAAAGTATGAGAACCATTCATTGAATAATTCATTTGTAAATTTTCACTATTTGTCTTTCATATTCTGTATGATTCTTCCAGTGTACAGTTCCCTATGGCGAAGGCGAGATATCCGTCTATGAACTAAGAAATGAGTATACTGCGCAGCATTTTGTTTTGTTTTACCTTACGGCTGTGAAACATGTAGATGTAGACTACTTGGTTGGGGTCCGTGTGACTATCGTAACCAATGGTTGGAGACTCTTGGTGATATGTACCAGAATCGATCATAATGGCGTAGGTGTAAACACTCTTTGTCTTCCTTTGAATCATGAGATTAAAATCGCTTCATATCTTTCTTCCTACGAACTAATTCTTTCTTCCCGTACTATGTCATTATACGTACTCTTTCTTTTATACATTATTATTATTATTATTATTATTATTATTATTATTATTATTAACGGCTTTATTCAATATTACCACCACTAAATTAACTACTACTATGAATCCGGTGTTCATCTTGCTGTGCTAATGCGGTATGGTAACTTGGATCGATGCATATACGTGCCTGGTCCTACGTTATAGCTGACTGACTGACGATCTTCTTAGCCTTCTGCTTCCAGGCTTTCCATTTCCGATTGGTGTTACATACTACTTATGTCCACCGATATAAGTAGTATACACCACACTTTCATCTACTACAGACGCAATGTTACGGTGAATCTAATAGTAATCATTACAAATATTGTAAGACAATAACTACACATACTTCTCTTTAAAACTGGAATAAAGAATGTGAAAAAAATTAGTGATTGCCATATTATACCTTTCCGAATAAAATGTTTGTGTTGTAAGTAAGAAAATAACATTTTCTCAGCCTTCTTACGATACGTATTGAGGTTAGTTTGATTGAGACGATTGAATAGAGGTTATTCGAAGTCGTAAAACCCCCTATTTTCCAACGTGAGTTTGAATCTACGCCTTATATGTCAGGCAACATAGAGTACTAAACAACCAAACATATCTTAACTGACACGGCTTATTCTGTACCTCGAATTATTTTAGTCGCTCATCAGAGGTGGGTGACCTTTAAAAAATAGGTATAGTTAAAGCTTATCATCGCATATTGAGTCTCCCCAACAAGATTTAAGCGCACATCGCAAAATCTGAAGGCTTTTGGTTTAATCTCACGTATGGTTATGGATATACTGTTGCTGAGGCATCCTGTACTTTGACGAAGTAAATATCTAATGCTTTCTGATCCCCAGTGGTTGTTTAAATAAAGTCAATAACTGATGTGAAATCACTAGTTCTGTTTGCTACGAATAGCTATTTTAGTCTACGACTCCCTAAGTTCTAACAAAATACATGTAAATTAATTAATAATGCAACAGTTAGAAATTGCATGAACACTATATTCATATACACTTTAAGCTGTGGAACTCGACTAAGATACTTTGTCTTCATTCTTCTGATGTTAAAAAGTCAACGCTGAGCCTTCAAATGATATATTGGGTTGATTTACTCATGTCCCTGTGTAATGATATGCTGACAGTAAATAAGACTGAATTTTGTGCAGTATCACACTCGTTGAATACCTCTAGCTAAGCTGTTTTGAAAGATGTTAAGTGCTGAGCACTAATACTGACATTCCTAAACTTGGTTACTGAAATTATGCTATTGCTTTTCCGGATTATTTTAAAATGCTCTAAAGCAAGTTTACTTTCACTTCAATTGAACGAGAAACATTGTATGGCTTGAATTTGCGTGCTCATGTAGTTAGGTTATGATACCATTTGTAATTGATCCTGACGGTGAAGTAATACAAACCTAGGCTAATTACAAACTGTAAATCCTTTTTTCTTCAGCCTAGAAAATAATCAACTTCCAATCTTTAATTCTAACTTAATATGTTACATTCTTATTGAAATTTTCAGAAAAACTTAGATGTTTTTTAAATAAAAAATTTGTTTCTTGATCATCCACATAGATCTCAAGTTTATGGTACTCCTTTCAAATAACACTGGTTAATTCGGATGAAGAGTAATCAATAAGTGATTAGACGGTCAATAGCGCAATATGAGAAATTTCATGAATAACCATTCACTAATCGTTTTAGACAAAACTTGACGCAACTTATTACGTGCCCTAAGAATCGACCATATTCTGACGGACAAAACACTGTATATGTTGTATTGATTGTGACCAAGTGTTACAGTATGAAAATCCACATTATTGACGTAGAAAGTATTCAGTGAATGGATGTTGAGAGGCGGAGTAACTTACCAGAAAAATTATCAGTAAAACTACATACCTATACACATGGTTAAAGTTTAAAATAGATATATATTTTATGGATCATTGAGAAAATGATAAAATCAAGGCCTGATTATTAAGGTTACTTATCTCATACAATATCGCTGGACATTAATCATAGCTGTTAAATATGATTAGTAGAAATAAAATGAACTTCTAAATCAAATCATAACAGAACAGGGTTAAATAATCTAGTATTCTAAACATTCTAGGTTAATTGGATATCATTCACGAAATTTTGTTTCCTCCCATTATTCAGATCACTAAATGAGTATATTTCTAAGTAAGCTTAATAAAATATGTACAAAGTTAGACAATAGATACAATGAAGAAAAAAGGGATAATATACACAGATACTTTTACATTAACTTAATGTAGTACAGACTTTTGAATAGCTTTAATTTTCGTGTGAACATGCAAAACAGTTACAGAATAGTCGACTTCCCAACCCACTGTTATATTAAAAAAAAGGCTTGAAGAAGTGCAATTTATTTAAAATTTTTATTGATAAGCATCTATAGATATAAATAAAAGATAGAAGAAGCAGTTCTATACACACGTAAAAATAATTTAGGATCTCATCAAGACCATATACCAGAGTCTTAATGAATACATCAGAATATGTTTAATCTTAAATAAGATTTTCAAACATATTCATCATTGTTTGATCACTAAATTATCATTTAGGTGTATATCACTGATCATCATATAACTTTATAATGAAAGATAATTAAAAACAAAGTGAAAGCAAACAGATAAGCAGGTAATTAAATAATGAGTTTTATAATTCATTAGAAAGGCCAAGTAACTTTCGAATTTCAGCTTCCATACTCTATATAAAGAAAATAGAATGGAATCAATTAACTTGAAACAAATGCTAAAAGCGATACAACTCAGTACATATAACATGAAAGTTAACAAATTTAGTTTAAGAAAAAGTGAATTCATCGGGAAAGTCTTCAGAAATTAAGAAAAGGTTGAGAACGCTGCATCTAATTAGAGTTTGATAGAAACGTCTTAGAATTTCCTAGAAAAACAATAGATTACATAATATTCTGATTGAATGATTTTATATTTCATTATTGAATCTAGAACGTCTCTAGAGGCTAGAAGGCCATACGTTAACCTAAAAATATCCTTGTTTTCTGTGCTTATAGTAACCTTGGAAACAAAGCTTCTTTCCATACATATTGCGTTTCGTCTTCTGTTAAGGATCTAAGTATAGAGGATTTCTAAAAAACTAGGAAATATTTAAAAATACAGTGCCAAGTATTTGAGTACTAGACATAACCTGTTCTAAGAATTTTTCCCACTTAATTACTTAAATTTTGTCAAGACGAATGTAAATTAACATTTATACATCTAAATGATATTTATTGACTATGTTGTTCACTTTCACTGATGTAGTCACTTTAGGGCGCATAATGAGAAAAATAATTTGATTTGTCAAACTATGATAAAAAAAATATAATTAAATAGAGTTTTGTATCATTAAAGGAATTACGTACTAACTCCGATATTATCCCACTTAAGTTTGACAAGGTATTAAATGCGATTTGATTACAAAAATAAAATGCTTTTTATTGCCAGCGATAACAGTAAATCTATGACTGATGTGAACTCTGATGGAATAGATCAATGAGAAGGAAGAGTAAACTTAAATCTTTTGAAATAGCTTAAAATGAATGTCACTAGTAATGAAGAATTTATTCCATTGTAACTTACGGGTTCTACGTATTCTCATTGATTATTATATTGATTACCAAAAATCTACAATCTTGCCGAAAAGTTGACGAAAATATTGAATCTTATCAGGACCGTTCGTGTAAATATTCTCTGAAACATTTATCTTAGAACAATTTTTGATTTTATGCTACTGAAAATTTTTTATGTATGTGGATAAATGCTGTTAACAATGTTCGTAATTAAATCAAAACAGTGGAGACTAGTGTAAGGAAGACTAGCGAATCGGAGAAAGTAGTACCTTATCGAAACCCTATTGGAACTACGAAACTTAGACAAAAGTGATTTATTTTGCATTTACGAATATGCAATACAATAGGTACAGTTTCTAAATACTGTGAAGTGAATATTTGATTTTAATCATCTGGACAATTTGAGACTTTCTAAACAATCATTCAAATAAAATGGTAATAAGACAGTACTTGTAATCAAATAGTACTTAGTTTGCACAGTATTTAACTTGATCATTTTGATACGAACTAAATGGTTAAACATGTTTGATCTGAGATTTGACCGCAAAGTACATCTGACAGACAGTGAAGTATTTATACACTTACTTTTGTATGCTAAACTACTTACATATACAATAATATAAGCCTAATGGTAAAATATACACGAAATACATTTATATTAAAAAATGTTTCTTCATAAAAAATAATATATAGTCTGTTAATTTCGTAACAAATGGTCAAAGTCTAAAATGACTGATTCTATGACATCAATAAAAAGTTTGATAAGTAAAAAATCAATAAAACTTACGTTAGGTGGAGTTATCGAACTGTAACGAGATACAGGAGTACCATTTCTGTCAACTATAAATTTCACGAAATTCCATTCAATTTCTCTGTAAGATATAAAGAAGTGATATACATTTTAGTCGAAAAGAAAAACAGGGAACACCAGACACACTAAATATTTAGGTCAAATACTAATGCACCTACAACACAAGTTTATTAAAGTAGAATGACAAGAAAGTAAAGTCAGAATTCCATGGCAAAAATACACATGTTATATGATACATGCATTTAATACAGGTCTGCGAACATCAACTATATATTTCAATCAAGCTTTATAAACCTTATTAGCTTAAAATATAAAAAATAAATATAGCTTTATTGGTTAATTACTAATATTGTTCAGTTAGTCAATGCACCGTAGAACCCGGAACATCGGCTTATGTTACGATACCACATTAGCACAAGAAGATAAAACTTTCAAGATAGATCCCATAGCAAGAGAAAAGCTGATAATATCAGTAGCAATCGAAGAGACACGCTACAAAACGCCAAAAAATGCTATGGGGAGGTTTTGGGACTTAAATATTAAGAAAAAACAAAGAGTGAATACACATGTATCATCCAAAACAGTTTTGAATGCCATTTGAATCCTCTAGACATTGGTTAAGATAAGCAAGCTTAACTCAGATAGTTTACGCCTATTAATATAACTCAGCTCAATTGTCAATGAATTTACAGACAAGTACCATGTCTTCGTTTGGCTGATCCTAGATTCTGTTTAACCTCTTTCTACCACAGAAAACATGACTAATTGAGGTAGGCAGTGCTCTGGCATACATAACACATGTCCTAACCACCTCATTAGTCGACACACCATCTTCACCTAATACCACGCATCTGACTTCACTTCAACATTGCACACTCAATGGCCCTACATACAATAGCACTGCTATGAAGACAGCCATAATCAAACACTAGTAACCCGTGAAAATCCTATAAGCTCACGGGAAACATTTCACAATCATAAAAGTAGAACAAACCGAAATGCCATGTAGTACATCGTTCTTTGTTTGGCAGATGGACATCTATCTCACTCACGTCATATATGAAGCGGATTTGAAAAAGCCAAGAGAGCTGTTTGAATCGGTGTCGATATTTCGTAAAATACCAGTGGGTACCACTGATGAGACTTCGGAGAGATGTGAGGTGTCGTTTGCCCCCGAATGCCCTGGTACGGCCGAGAGTGGGGAGAGTCCGCTCTCCCTCTCGAAATGCTCTCACACGGCCACACGTATACAGCCTCTGCCAGGGAAGTCCTACTCATTGCCTTCTCGTGGCGGGGGTGTTGTTTACGAAAATGAGAGGACGAAAAGCGAATGTCCGGCGCTTTAACCGGATCACAAACCAATGGTGTACATGGGCGCCAGTATCCTGCGGGAACAAATGGCGTACGAACCAATCGTTGGTCACCGGCCATCATGGGGCGGCATCTCCTTACGATGCTCCACTGCCTTGTGGATCAGACCTTCAGGTCGAAGGCTCGGGGTGTGGCCCCCTAAGATAACCACCTGCTTCGGTCTGCGCATCCGAGCAGTATCACAGCCCGCACACAAATATGAGGGACTGTCGATAATTATGGAAAGCCGTGACCAGTGGAGCTAATCCTTGTCGGGTAGAGACAGTTATCTACTTAGGTACAATGGAAGTTGGTCGCGCAATTTCGTGGATTGGTTGATGTTAGAAACTATCACCATTGGATGCCGGCTCAGTGGTCCAGTTGGTTAAGCGTTCGCGCGCGAGACCGAAGGCCCTGGGTTCGAATCCCGCTCGCGGGATCGTAGATGCGCACTGCTGAGGAGTCCCACAATAGGACGAAACGGCCGTCCAGTGCTTCCAGGTTTTCAATTGTGATGGTCTAACATCAATTGGTTCAAGATCTCAATCAAAAACTTAATAATCTCCACAACCCCTATACTAGTAATTATGGAAAATACTTTTCTTGCTTCAACTATTAATCAAACGATTCACATTATTATTATTACTATTGTTATTATTTACTACATCATTTGTTCACTCTCTTTTATTCCTACTCTGTCTATCCTTATTTTTCGACTTATACAGCAGCTCGTCTATGGTAGAAATTCGGTTCTATCTAAACGTTCTCGAGTAGAGACGTTATCAGATATGGCTCAGAATAGAAGCCAGTGGCGATCCTGCTGTAACCTTTTACTTTCTTCATAAAAAGTGGTTGCTTCTTCCTTAACTGAAAGATCTCTTCTGAGTGTACGTTTCTGTTTCCCCCATTATTATTATTACACTACCTTACACTAATCTGTTCGTTATCGTTTTTTTTTAACGCTCCTTACCTTTTTTTCCTTCTCTGCAAATTCTCATTGTTTTGTATGGCGCATATATATTTGGTGCCCTCCTGTACCAATATTTATGTGTTTAAATAAATAAATAAATAAATAAACTCGAAATGCTCACACGGCCGCGCGTATACAGCCTCTGCCAGGGAAGTCCTACTCACTGCCTTCTCGTGGCGGGGGTGTTGTTTACGAAACTGAGAGGACGAAAAGCAAATGTCCGGCGCTTTAACCGGATCACAAACCAATGGTGTACATGGGCGCCAGTATCCTGCGGGAACAAATGGCGTATGAACCAATCGTTGGTTACCGGCTACCATGGGATTGCATCTCCTTACGATGCTCCATAGCCTTGTGGGTTAGACCTTTAGGTCAAAGGCTCGGGGAGTGGCCCCCTGAGATAACCACCTGCTTCGGTTTGGGCACCCGGGCAGTATCACAGCCCACACACAAATGATGAACTCTCTATGCCTATGGAAATTACTTTTCTCGCTTCAAAAACAATCAATTGATTCAAATAATTATCATTACAATTATTGTCATTATTAATACTATTATTATTATTACTGTTATTGTCATTATTATTATTATTATATTTATTATTATTATTATTATTATTATTATTATTATTATTATTATTATTATTATTATTTTCCACATTATTCACCCTCTTTTATACTTATACAGCGGCTCTTCTTTGGTGGAAATTCGACTGTATCTAAACGTTCTCGAGTCACTGAATGGTTGAAAATTGTATGTTACCACAGAATATGAGTACTGAAGCAGTTTTTCTGAAACCGCGTGCACCATTCAAACTGGCTGCCTTCAACGTTTGCACACTTATGCAGGTTGGACAACAGATAGGGATGGCTATGTCTTTGGAAAGTCTTCATATCGATGTCTGCTGTCTATCCGAGACCCGCATTCAAGACCCTGGTGAAGTACTACAAATTCGATCTCCATCTGTCGCTTCGAAAAGCTTGTTTTACGTACGCTTATCCAGGGACCCTGTGGCATCTTCGTCTAGTCTTGCTGGCGTTGGTGTCGTACTAAGCGCTAGAGCTGAGGCAGCACTAGTCGATCGGATCCCCATTAACAGTCGGTTATGTGCTGTTAGATTAGAAAGTTCCATCAAAGTGAGAAGAAATCGGCGTGAGAAACCACGTCTTTTCGTCATCTCCGCCTATGCCCCGACAGATTGCAGCCCGGATGCAATCAAGGATGAGTTTTACCACCAGTTATCTGTTCTTCTCCAGAAAGTGCGTTCGACAGATATTGTGGTACTAACCGGAGACTTGAATGCTCAGGTCGGGCGTCTAGGCACAGAAGAGAGTCGTTTAGGTGGCCGATGGGGACTCGTTGGTTGCAGGTCAGATAACGGGGACCGTCTACTGCAACTTTGCACAGACCACAACCTGTTTCTGGATAGCACTGACTTTCGGTACAGTCATCGCCGATGTGCCACCTGGCGTCCTCCCTCTGCATCTCAAGCCTGGACTCAGATTGATCACATCGCGATCAGCTACCGCTGGCGTGGTTGTGTACAAGACTGCCGCTCCTTTTGGAGTACCTATCTGGACTCTGACCATGCCTTGGTCTGCGCCAATCTTGCCTTACTTTTCAGTGGACAACGAAAAGACCGCCATCAACAGATTGATATTAGCAAGCTGGTTGCAACTTCTGTTGCAAGTAAGTATCGAACCGAGCTAGCCTCTAGGCTAGCTACCACTCCACTGAAAAGTATAGATGAGCATTGGTTGCAATTGCATGACGCCATGAAAATGGCGGGTACAGTCAGTTGTGGGTTCGCGAAACGTCCCGCTTATAAGCACTGGGTTTCTGTAGGTTCCTTACAACTCATTGAAGCCCGTCGGTCTACTCCGGGTGACCGTGAGTTTGACCATAAACGAAGGATGTTATATAAGGAAATTGGGCAAAGCTTGCGTAAGGACCGAGAAACCTGGTGGTCGAAGCGTGCTAATGAGCTGGAAGCAGCAGCTGCATCTGGTAACTACCGGAAGCTCTTCCAACTCATCCGAGCCACTAGCAGCAAGAAGTCTGATGTGAGCGAAACAATCTACGAGGATGATGGGATGCCAATGACTAACATCCATCGACGTCTTGGAAGATGGGCAGAATTTTTCGAAGGACAGTTCAACTGGCCCGCTGCTCCGGCAACATCGGTCAGACTGTCCTGCCCTCCATGGCCGGTGACGACTGATCCACCAAATGAGGCGGAAGTCCGCAAGGAACACCAACTCTTGAAGCGCTACAAATCACCTGGCCTAGATAACTTACCTCCGGCTCTTTTTAAAGATGGTGGTGACTTTCTGACTAAGGAATTGACGACGTTGTTCCATTCGAGCAGTGGGGTTAAGCAGGGTTGCCCAATCTCACCATTCCTCTTCAACTTTGCCATCGATGACATTCTGGAAACAGCTCTGATGAATGTAAGTAATGGTGGTGTGGATCTGTTACCTGGAGAAAGACTTCTCGACCTTGAGTATGCGGACGATATTGTCTTACTGTGCGATAATGCCCAAGGCATGCAATCCGCACTTAATCATTTGGCAATCACTGTCCGTAGGTATGGTATGTGCTTTGCACCTTCGAAGTGCAAAGTACTTCTACAAAACTGACAGGATTCCAATCCTGTACTCACCCTGGATGGTGAGCAGATAGAAATAGTCGAGAAGTTCGTGTATCTGGGCAGCTGCATAAGTGCTGGTGGGGGTGTGAGTGATGAGATCAATGCAGGAATAGTGAAAGCCAGAGCGGCTTATGCCAATCTGGGCCACCTTTGGCGCCTTCGTGATGTCAGTCTGGCTGTGAAAGGTCGGATCTAAAACGCGTCGGTGAGAGCAGTTTTGCTCTATGCTTGTGAAACCTGGTCTCTCCGAGTTGAGGACGTTAGACGACTCTCTGTGTTCGATTATCGTTGTCTCCGAAGGATTGCTGGCATCCAGTGGCAACACCATGTTAGTAATGCAGAGGTTCGGCATCGTGTGTTCGGGCGTAATCGGCGTCACCATCTTGAAACACCGACTTCGGTGGCTTGGACATGTTCTCCGAATGTCGTCCCAGAGAATTCCACGTCGTGCATTATTTGCCGACTCTGGGACTGGTTGGAGAAAGCGGACAGGTGGTCAGTATATGACATGGTGTCGTGGTATGAAAGAAAGCTGCAAAGGACTGGCTTCTGTCGGTCCTTCACGACTCCCTGGTTGGGGTCTGAGAGATGGTGCAACACAGTGGCTAGAGACGTTATCAGATATGGCTCAGAATAGAAGCCAGTGGCGATCCTGCTGTAATCTTCTTTTACTTTCTTCATAAAAAGTGGTTGTGTCTCCGTTACCTGAAAGATTTCTTCCGATTGTACCTTCGCGTTCCCTCATTACAACCACACTACCTTACACCAATCTCTTCGTTATTGTTCTCTTTTTTTTCTATTTCTCTTCGAATTCTCATTGTTTTGTGTGGCGCATATATATTGGCGCTCTCTTGTACCAATATTTATGTGTTCAAATAAATAAATAAATAAATGAGGTGATCGAATCATCCAAACTACTTCATCATATATTGTTAGGTTAGGAGTTCACTCAGACCAGTCATGAAGCAACATTCTGTGCTTAGTCAGCGTTCTCGTGAAACAGAACCATTATGAGAGTCTTTAATTCCTTAGTTGAACAGATTATTTACGAAGCTTTATGGGTCAAGAGAATAATCTGCTAGACAGTTGTGGAGAAATCTTAATAAACCACTACTTATAGGAGTGTGCACTCATGTTATACTTAACGACTCAGTCGTTTTGTCCTTCGTTTTCTAGCATTTGATTTATCATGTATCACTTACTTAATTTTCTGAGGTTGAATGGTTATTATTCATTCTTAAATCTGAGATTGATAGGACTACATATTGGTTTAAATAAATAAATAAACTTCAGATTCACACAAACCCAAAACTGTCCAAAAATTTACTCATTTTAACATATAAACATTGGTACTAGGAGGCACCAAATACATATGCTCCACATAAATCGAATGATTTGTGTTAAGGATAGAACACTGCCCGGGCGCCCAAACCGAAGCAGATGGTCTTCTTAGGGGGGGGGCACTCTCCGAGCCTTTGATCCAGAGGTTTAATCCATACGATAGCGGGGAAACGTTAGATCCAATCCCATGGTGGCCGGTGAGCAACAATAGGTTTAAACACTATTCGTTCCTTCAGAATCCTAGAGCCCATGTGCACCACTAGTTTGGAATCAGGGTTTCCCAACTCCCCTAGGTGGATCCTCCATATCCACTGTTTCAGACAGCATTCGATGAAGCGATTTCGTTATATAGTACATTTTACTGCGCTCTTGAGATCCTGTTCCAAAATAATGCGATCCAAATCGCCTAATGACAATAAGTGACTTGACACTTTAGGTTAATATAACGCTATGTGGCTGAGTCCATTTGATAACTTTTCGGATATTCGCGCTCGAGGTTATTTAAACTGATTCCCCAACCCCCTTTACTCGTTTAATACGATTTTAAGTGTTTACGAAACGGCAACCATGTCAAAAAGTACCGTAAAAAGGGTATTTAAATTTTTGCACTGATATCAAGACTTAAACGAGTATTGAGGGCTTACCTGGAAAACCAAGACGATAGTGACTGTTTCAGAAACTTGTACAACGGAATAGCATTCTCACCATTGACATCAATTTTGTGGAACAAATCGAATGTCACATTATACTTCGCTAACACGCGCTGTTTTATTTCTTGATCAGTCCCGGGTTCCTGAAGGTAGATCAGTTATGTCAACCTTAAGTTACCTGTTCTCTAAACTGATTACAGGGAAAAGCTAAAATTCGGAGGCCGCTTTCAGAATATTGGGTATATAGTCTCTGAAGCTGGGGATAATTAGTGCCTGCAAGGCCTCACTCAGTAGCAACATTCACGATTACGCAAACTTCATTTCTATAGACAAAATTAGTTGGAAATTAGCAGACCACCTACAGGTACTTTCTCAGTTGAACTTCATTACCGTCAATATCAGTGACCGTAAAATCATAGATCTTACCAGATGCTGGACTTCTGCTGCACGCCTACAAAGTATGAAAAAAATTAGGATTACGGCGGCACATACCAGAATATTTGTAAAATACGTTTTCGAATTACAGTAACCATAGTTACTTCATGCATACATAAACACTAAGATAGGGCTTTAAAAGGAAAACTGACAGACCACAGATTGATGAGATAAACCACTAAAGTAAGACAAATAAAGCGATTTCAAAATATGTAAGTCCATAATTGGTTGAAGATTAATACCTTAAATCGATAGCATGACATGAATAATTACAAAGAAATCTTCAGGAAACAAAGCCTGATCATTTAATTTGGATGAACTGGAAGAAAGACAAAACATAACTGGTGTATTTTTATCACATTATGCTGAGTATAATCATGATAGTTGGGAACCGAACGACTAAGTAAAAGTAGTGAAATACATGTATGCTTTGGATACTGAATCAAATCCAACACCTGGTGATCGCTGTGCGAATTTCAACCAATAGTTGTTACAAGACAGTAACGGTTCCTAGAAACGTTACATGATTATACAAGCAAAAGTAAGTGGATACGGAAGGTTATGCTGTATTCGATTGATCGTTAACATTTTGCTAAAAAAAGTGAGCACCGAAAGGAAGATAGGTAGCAAGTGAATATATTCTTTTTTGTGAATGCATCACAAACAAAGGCCTTCAGATGTTTTCATATTTTCTTATCTATGCTTGGTTGCGACATTTAGTTGTTAACTAATTGACTTTTAATAGTCTCTTCGAAGATCTACTGGTTTAACTCTAAGACACTAAAAAGCAAATGGCATCGATGGTGTGTTTTATATCCATCATTTATGAAATGACTATAATGAACTCATTAATCACAGAACGAAAACGAGGTGATTGTACTAAAATACGTATTTCCCCAGACTACTCATTTAATATTGACAAGGTGTCCTCTAAATCACCTGGAACGACAAAATACTTAACCTTCTCAAACTAAGAAATTGTGTAAAATTGGTACTAGTAACCTATCGAAAACATCTAAATTAGTTGCGAGAAAATGATTAAGTTGAAAAATGATAATAAAGCTCAGTGATGTCCGAAGGGTGATAGAAGGATACTCTCTCTGATTTCTAAGCAAAAAGGCAAAAGGACCCTGAGATGCTGTAGACATTTAGCATTTCTCCCGAAAATGTCAAAAGTAGTGGATAACCTTACGAACTATTAAGTGAATTCATCAATAAAAACACATTCTTCAGTTAAGTGAACTTGATTGTGAATGCACAATGATTTTTAAAAACGTACATTTTGTACTTTAAAAAGAACTACTGTTCTCCTCACAGTACAATGCATTTCCGCAAATAGCCAATGCACAAATAGAATTACTTACTTCCAAACTAGCCGAGAAGATTATCAGGCTTAACAAACTTGTAAAACGATCAAACATCTTAAAATATCTTCAGATGTGCAGGATTGTGTTTAACCACGTGAAATGTCGTGTGGTGAAGGAGTATGTAGATAAAAGTATATTAGACAATCTGTAAGATAAAAAAAAAACAAGTGAAGTGAGCTAACGACTCAGTAATATACATATATATATATATATATATATATATATATATATATATATATATATATATATATATATATAGTTAGACAAATGTATACATGCTGTATACAGCATCAACTGAAACGCATATGCGTTTAATCGTTTGTTGTAAACCGTTCACGAAAAAAGAAGACATGATTTACGAGTGTTTATTTCAAATAGTTAATAATATGGGTATACCCAATCTCCCCATTTCAGGGTAATCCCCAAATTTTGGAGAAATTTTATGGAAAAACCCCTTACCAATTGTTGGGTTCGAATTTCCCGAAACGTTTGAGGAAACTTTTGGGAAGAAGCCCAAAATCTGTGTAGCGCGCGCTACACCAAAATGCTCTCTAGTCTCTGGATAGAATTCTCACATGAAAGACTGTTTAACATAAACTCATGTGCATTTACAGACATAAATAATTTAATTTCTGGTTGCGTGGCAAGTACTCTCTCCTACTTTCAGTGTAAATGTCGTACACTTGACTTCGTAGCGGTATGGAAAGCTTCGGAATGTAGGTTGTTTCTTCTATATCTAGGCCCAGTTATTCAGCAAAAAACATTGCTGCAACCTTTGTACCTTAATTTCAGGCGTTTAGTATCATCCATTTATCTGCTTGCACACCCTAAATTATATAATACTATTGTAGAATCCGTCAGAATAGATTTAGGAAACTTTCTTAAAGAATATGAATGGTGTTATGGGTCTGAAAACTTAATTTATAATGTGCATTTGTTACAGCATCTTCCTGACGATGTTCGTGCACATGGACCTTTAGATAGTTTTTCAGCCTTTCCATTCGAGTCTTATATGAGAGAAATAAAAAAACCTGTGCGTAGCGGGCATGCTGTTGCAAAGCAAGCAGCTCAGAGTTGTGTGGAGAAAATGTCCTTCCGCGATAGGCTTCAAGTTAGTTGTTTCACTAATACTACTCCAATAGCCGCTAAGAAGGTCTCCACTAAACAAGTAATTATGTTTAAAAATAGTAAAATAACTTCATTTAAGCCTGATAATGTTGTAGTAGTAAATGACACTCTGGTTTAGTCACTGATATAGGGGAGGATGGACTACTAAAATTCAGGTCTTTTGCTGACCCACGCATTTAATTCGAAGATGCTTTCCGCTTCACTGATATGGGAATATTCATGTGCTCCGTAGTTAGCCATGAACACACATGGGTATCGGTTAAGGACATTGACTGTAAATGTAGAGCCATTAACTTTATCAGTTATTTAGTTATAGTTCGATTGTTGCATACTTTTGTGTGAATGTATTTGTTTTATTTGTGCTTAATTCATAATCATAAAACATTTCATTACCTCTTATGTTATAATTAGCCCGCTAGCAAACAATACGTCATTGTTGACGTTCCTAGCAAGAAACAACTTATGATAGCAACCAAGCAGTGGATTGTTGGCAAAGAACTTTGCCTTTTTCTAGCGGAGCTGCTCGATATCCACCTGCAAAACTGTGACCGACCATATGACAATTGGTCAGTTCTGAAATGTAAAATTATTCACGAATTCGGTGGGTAACAAACATAGAAACTGTATTGGTAAATAAATCCCCAGAATAGATAGAACTGTAAGTCTTCGACATTGGATGCTACATTGGTTTTAATGAACTCACCTAGTTGAAGGCGCTTGGTCACGTATCCGCACCAGATCACGAGTGAGAACTCCGTGCTCATCAGCCCCTACAATTGCTAGCCAGATTAGATCAGACGATTCTCGATATACTGATAGCCTATAAAATATATATTCCAACCTCCTCGCTTCTGTCTTTCGATTTTCCTTGGTGGGTACGCTTCATATTAGAATGTGTTACTGGTTATATCGTTGTCAAACTCCGAATACCTTTGGCATCTTCAAAACTATAATTCACTGTAGATGGTCTACAGTCTGCAAAGGACATGATAGTTTCCCTCCAAGTACTGGAACTTCACCGTAAAAACACTTCAACGGAAGCAAACATCTTGCTACTGAACACTGAAAAGCCCGAGAGGTCAGTACAATAATCTTACCAACATTCCCTAGAGATCCATTTAGGCGTAAAGAAGGATTTCTTTACAATTCAGTAGATATTGATGTGGCCGAGATGCAGGCTGGAAATAGCTACATACAATATCAGAACTTTCGGTTGTTTAACAGAGTCGCCCAGCCGATTGCCAAGTACGTTTCGTTACTATTTAGATGTTAATGAAGTAGTTCGACACAATTAGATACATCACCGTCAACACTAGAATCTAGGAATGTAGGATGTGCTTCAGCGGCCCAGTAAGTCACCTGTACGATCAAGTGAAGTTTTTCAGATTAGATAGGTTGTATACAATGATGCAGAACATGTAGTCAGTTATTAGTGACTTGAGGACAAATGTAAAGTTGCCACTAGCGAAGTTCAGTGGATGCGAACATCCCCATCAATTCAATTGCGGACTATTAAGTCAGCAGTCCCGTTTTGTCATCAGAAGAGGAACTGCTGATGTTGGATACTGGTTTGCAGCAGAAAGAAATCAGGGAGAGATTTGTAAGTCAACAACATTAATTTTATAATTTATTCGTATTACAGATGGCCATGTTAGCGAGGTTGATGGATAATGATTCTAAAACCCCAATGTGATATGTTTTGTCGTAGCCCATGACACCTGAGGTTGCCAGTAATTTCACGCTACTAGGCACTTCATCATAACGAGCACTTCAGAAATGTCAGTTTTAGGGCTGCATACTAAGTAACTTATATCTATTATTTAAACTTCAGGTACATTAACCAATCGCCTTTTGTCATCATCTGTCAACGAATAAGACCTCGCGAAACTGTACGATACCGCGACACAAGGTTTTTTTCATGACGTCAGAGACAAATTAATAAGGCGTAATCGAAGGAAACAAAAACAGGTATGCACTAATTTAAAGTGATAACTTCTCTACTGCTCTGTAGTTACAGTCGACAGTGCTAACGAATAAAATCGTAAGTGAAGCTTCAAGTATCTGGCTGTGCCAAAGCATGTCATTCAGATATCGTTGTGACTCCTTTTCTTTTTTACACTTCAGAATTCACAAGAAGATTATTTTTATTCTTAATAACCGGACAGGTGTGGCTAAGAGAAGTAATCCGTGGAATGTTTTTTATGTTCAACTTATTTTTCAGTAAAAATTATTTTGAAAATGAGCTTAATTTTTTACTTACATGGGAAAATATTTAAGTGTTGAGAAAGTGTGGTTGATTTTCAGTGAACTTGCAATTAATTACACATGCCTTACTAATAATACATCACCTGTTTTTTCTTTTCCAGACTTTTTCAAATAAAAGTGAATTGGCAATTGCAAGGAAAATGCATAACGGTTGATTCTCAAGCTTCTGCTATAATGTTATATAATAATGAGCTTTTCCTTTTCAATAAATTTATTTAAACATATACCATTTTTTCCGTGGATTGCAGTTTTAGTGTGGTTTGTTGTGGTAATAAAGGTGAACATAGGAGACCTTTTTGGTTATGCCAATGGTGTTTTAAAAGTTGGAGAGAAAATTAACAATTCGGCGTATATTTGGGCAAAAAGTAGACCATTCGGCGTTTATTTATGCGAAAAATAGACAATTCAGGTTTGAGAGACAGAGCGACAAAAAAGAGGATGTCCGCATTAGTTTCCCCGGACAGGCGAAAAAGCAGACATTTTGGCACGTTTCATTTTTATTTTCCCTTTATTCTCCAGCGTATTCCCACCTTTATTTTTCCTTTGTTGGTTGAATGGGGCAGTTGTCCGTACAAACAGTTAATAGCCAGTGTACTTTTAAAACCTTTTAAGACGAAATTACAAGTAATAATACTTTTAAATATGATCATTAACTTCCATCAACATCACATTGCCGGCTTTTAGGTTTTATTTTAGTATACCAAGTAGACACGAGGCAGAGAAACGTAGGTTTCACACCAATATTTCAAAGATCTTACATCACGCAGGTGTGCTGTTTGTACTGTCCACGACTTCTGTTACCTCTTCTGCTCAGCCTGACTACATCTAATTGTTACTTTTTGACTAAAATTTGGAAGGTAATGAAAGGGATAAAAGACAGGTTACCACCAACAGAGTGTCAAATTTGATGGGCTGCCTTAGATCAACTTCTTTTAGAAGGTTGAGGAAGTTATGATCCGGTTTTGAGAAAACGTACGAGTTAACAACTGATGACGATGAACACTTTGGTTGAGCTGATGTAAAAGACGTGGGCGATGCCCTATCAGCAGAGCGGTGTGGCAGTATTGTCCCAGAATCAGCCACTGCCTCCTGTAGTTAAGTCCATTGTATGCCTATTGCAGAGAACGGTATGGTCTCCACCTGTTTATCTGGCAATGAAGTGAAAGCTGGATAAAGTTGTAACTGGAAGGGCTGTAGCGTAAACAAATCCCCACAATCAATATCTCTATAAGTCGTCAACATTTGAGGCTGACCACGTTAGTTTTAATGGAATAACCAAGCTGAAGACGATCGGTCACACATCTGCACTAGATCACGAGTGTGTACACCGTGCTAAACGAATGAGGAAGGTAACCGGTCAAAGGACTTCCGATGATGGCTTGTTTACACAGCTTATATTGTCTTAGCTTCATCAACATATGCAGGCAGTGCTTGTTTCGTTTAAAAACATTGCTGTAGACAAGCCGGCCACATTCGCCGTATGCATTCTAGAGGTCACCGAAATTTCTAACAATGGGGTTTTTTCAATGAAAGTAAAACCTCAGACGACACGAGATGACGTCACAGAATTCTTTCATGCTCTAACACGTAGACGATCACAAACTCCTCGCAGGAGTTCTTCGAGAAAACAATCTGTCTGTAGTTAACGAAAGACGGATAAC